AAATTTAACAGTTGGATAGCTGAAAAAGAGGTGATGGATCTACAGGGTCCGTTAAAGCCTTAGTGAATTCATGACAGACGTCATTAAATAATTACCATGGCCGAGGAAGGATTCTACGTCACGCTTCCGTGCAACGCTTCGATGAACATCTACCCTGATAACAAAATATCTAATTACAGAACTAGATTGGCTAGAAGTATAAATTTAAAAGGTCTGTGGGAGGTGGCATTGGTTGAATTTGAATATCCATTGACGTGGTATACATTTAATGAGGATGACTCTGTTTTTATTATTGTCTGTGATCAACGTCTACTACAGAATAACCACGAACTGAGCGATGTAAGAGGCGATGCGTTTCAGATTGCTCTAAAATTATCAACGAGCCGGAATACGTTAAAATGTGGGTATTTTGAGGATGTACCCATTTTGCTCAGGGATATAAATGTCACTCTCCCCCAGAGGGTACGTCTCGCCTACGACCGTATAAAGAATAAGGTATTTCTCAAAGCGCCCCCAGGGACTTCGTTGACATTTTATGGCAAACTAGCAATCATCCTAGGTTTAAAACCAGGGGTTTCTATAGAAACTGTAAACAGTTCGGGTGAACATCAAGACACGTACATCACATATGCGCCATTCCAGGCTGATATAAATGCCGGATTCTACACGCTATATGTATACACGGACATAATCGACTATCAAGCGGTTGGGGATGCCTATGTACCTTTATTAGCAACTGTATATATAGATGGTGAGACTAACAAAACAGTCAGTGTCAGATACGACAAAGCTCATTACGTACGTGTTAATAAGAGCTGCATCTCAGAGATCTCTGTTGATGTAAAAGACGATTTAAACCAGGACATACGTTTCACCTACGGAAAGGTTGTTACCAAACTACATTTTAGACCTGTGAAACACCAACCGTTTTAAAATGGCTCATCACGCACCGTACAAAGTGGATCCCGAACGCTACATATCATACTACAGGGCTCAGGCAGGTAACGGCCTTCCGGGTTACGCAGGGGGCGGAGTTATGTACGGGTCCGGTTTTGCTTCAGGAATCGGTGGTCTTTTTAAAGGCCTTTTTCGAATGGCAATGCCTTTTTTTAGAAGGGGGATCAGTATAGCAAAACCACATCTAAAGTCAGCCGCTAAAAACATAATGAGTGATGTTGTCACCAGTGCTCTAACAAAGTCTTATAATAATAATGATGAAAATGGACAGGAAGGCCATGGTCTGATGGTGATGTCACGTAAACCACCGGGTACCCGTATGAGAAGAGGGCGTGTCCTTGCTGTAAAGAAGACCAGGCGTTCTAGCAAAACACGCTCAGTTACAAAAAGCAAGCGAAGAACTAGCACGAAACGGGTGAAAAGATCTGCAGATTTAAAAAGACGGGGTATCACTATTTTCTAAAAATGTCTCTGCTACACTGTATGTCTGATGAGTGCATTAAATCAGAGCTGGATCTGTTTACGGTCCCTTTGACACAAACAGCTATTGAAAAAAATATGTATGTGGAGATAAGCCCCGTGTCAGCTTTAACAGACGCATCACCCATCGAATTCTTTATAGCGGGGGCCGGTGAAGATTACACAGATCTGAATAACACGCTCCTATATACGCGCGTCAAAATAACCCTACCGAACGGAAATGACATTCCTGACGGAGCGCCTGTGGCTTTAATTAATTACCCTGGATCGACGATTTTCTCACAGGTTGACGTCTCTTTAGCTGACCGGCTCGTCAGTAACAGTAGTAATACGCATCCCTACAGGTGTCTCTTTGAGGCCCTCGTTAATTATGGAAAAGACACTCTCGAGAGTAACTTTTCAGCGGGTTTATTCTACAAAGATTCTTCGGCTCACATAGATGCTACGGATCCTGGAGGGGCGAACGCGGGATTAACAAAGAGAGCAGCGTTCACAAATGCCAGTAGTGTTGTAGAACTACTAGCTCCAATTCACAGCGACATCTTCTTTCAGTCTAAATTATTATTGAACGGAGTGGATATACGGATTCGGTTAACTCGTGCGAAAGACGAGTTCTGTCTGATACGTAGTGACGCCATCAATTATAAGCTTAATATACTGTCGGCTTCACTTTTTGTGAAAAGAGTCACCGTATCCCCTGCAGTGCGTTTGGGACATGCGCAAGCTCTTCTCTCGACCACAGCTAAATATCCCATAGATAGAGTCTGTGTGAAAAATTTCTCCGTACCGGCAGGAGCACGTGTATCTAACCATGAAAATCTCTTCCTCGGGCCGCTACCGAAATCCATCATTTTGGCCATGACGGAAAACACCGCCTTTTCTGGTGCTTATGACAGGAATCCTTTTGCCTTTAAACACTTTGACCTTGAATATTTGAGTCTGACCTGTGACGGGACCCAGGTCCCTTCGCGTCCCTTTCAACCAGAATATAATAACGGGTCTGCCGTGAGAGAGTTTTATCAACTAGTGACAGCCACGGGTCGGCATCTAAAGAATCAGTCTATGATCATAGATCGTGAAGATTTCCTACACGGATACACTCTCTATGCCTTTAATCTGACACCCGACGAGGAATGTGGTCAACACGTTTCATTGATTAGATCAGGAAATATTAGATTAGAAGCACGCTTCAGAGTACCCCTCGCACAACCAATTAACATTTTAATATATTCAGTCTTTGACTCTATTATAGAGATATCAAATCGGAGACAGGTGTTCGCAGAGCACTACTGAATACAGCTGTAATGAATACCGTGCAACTGACGGGACTGATGGATAAAATTTCCTGTAACACAAATTTTTTAGGTGTACTACCGTGCGATTACCTACCCGAAGACCCTTTAAAGGATACCCCTTGCATGCTAATTTCGAATACACAATCTTCAGACGAACCGGGGGAACACTGGATTGCCATATACATACGTCGAGATGGCGTCGCCTGTTTTTTTGACAGCTTTGGTAACGCACCGGATGCAGATTGCTTTCCTGCATCTTTTCATAACTTTCTAAAAAACAATTCTACGGTCGTTCAGTACTCGGGCAAACAAGTTCAAGATTATACTTCTGATACCTGCGGACAACATTGTGTGTTTTTTCTGTATTATATATCAAGAGGTTATGAATATGAGAATATTATAAAAATGTACCATAATGATTTGTTAAAAAATGATGTCATGGTCTCTCTCTTTGTGAAAAAATTGAAACCTAGTCTCTGTAACGGTAAAACATTTAAATGCATTCAGTGTGTACAGTCCGGTAAAACATTTCAGACGTATTAATGTGATGTATTGTTTATGTGTGTGTGATGAATAAACAAACTTGTGAAACAGATTAAACGTTTTCTTTTTCTTTTATTGGTATCAGACATTAGTATACAACTTAAAAATACACTTACATAATTATGATATACACAAATTTACATTCAATAATATTTGTAAAACAGATAAACATCTCCAATTATATCGATGCAAATAATTGTTAAAAATCTAGCCATTGTTTTGCATCTAATTTAGGTGACTTATCAGATGTGTCTGAAGAGGGACGTGGTGGTGTGTTACGATGTCTTCGTTTTTTCAAAGACCTTCTCGGTACATCTTCAAAACTATTCCCTGTTGTTTTTCTTTTAAGTGAATCAATCAAGCATTTAACATGATGGTTACTTATAGTTGAGTGAGGTATGTTTAAAGAGGAAAACGCTTCGAGAAATTCATTCCATCCTGTCGGTCTACGTTTGTCATGTATCGTTTGAGGCATTGTTACGCTTTTCAACAGATCAAGCATATGAGATCCTGCAATGATTTTCCCTTTATAAACAAATTCACCGGCGTCTGTCCATGAAGACAACTGTTTGGCCTTAGACATTTTATCCAAAATGTATTTTACATTTTTCAAGCTTCTCTGAGGGACGTTGTTTAGCACCTCTGATACGATTACGTCTTCAGTGATGGGTGCTTCTTCATTTTCGCCATCCTGACTCGGCACTGTTAACGTTAAAGCGTTGCTCTCCACATCGTTATGCTTTGACACAGACAGAAATCTCTGTAACATGTGTGTGTATAGTTTTGCTTTTTCATGTGGACCCAGGTCATGTCTTTGTAATATCTCCCTTATAGATGAATCCAGGTTTTCCTCCACGGACGTATTGATATTTTCACGTGGCGGCGCATTCCTTAGTCTATCCATTTGATGCTTTGGTACAAGATACAATTTTTCAGTATGCTGCATTTTTTCTCTTCAGATTCAGTTTCTAGTTATCAGGCTAGTTATGAAAGGTAAACCTATGCTTAGGAGAGGTAGTAAAAAGCCACCTTTTTGGTTAATCATACGTCTTTTTCTTGCAATATTGATCTTTTTATTAGCAACGTATTTTATTTCGGTCTTTCTCCTTTTTAAAGATCCGAGCTGTTTTGCAGTTAGAGGGATCTTGCCGTGAAGAATATTGAGGGCCACTTCACACAGAGCCAGTATGAGTTCGTCAGGGGCTGAATGCAAAATAACCTTCCGTTGTTTGGGCGAGCTCTTGTATAATAACTTTAAAAGGTAAAGATTTCTGGAAAGTCTCGAACTCATTTTAAACTCCCTTCTGGACGTAGACCACAGGATAGTCAGACAGTAAATCTGTTCTGAGTCGAAATCTTTCAGGAGTCTGTGTTTTATAATCTATTAGTAGGTAGCTGAAAGGAAGACTAGTTGCATCCTGGTAAGCTTCAATAAAAAACTTTGTATTACCGGGAAACATCTGACGACCCAAAACACCTATCTGTTGCTTATCTCGGGGGTTTTTAAATATTATTAAATAATTTGTATTAAGTCCTATTGTTCTGGTAGATTTACCCTGGAAAAATAGATTCTGTATCAGTAGCAAACAACTCATATTTTTATGATGGATGTATTGCGTAAAAATCTTCTCGACTTCAGAATTGGACGCTGCTTGACCCATAACGTCGTCCAAAATTAATAGGGATCTTTTACCAGGTGGGAATAATGAATCATCATCCAATTTCTTTGGGATGTTTTCAATGAATTTAATATCAAAAGCATGTAACAGCTCATCATATAAAGACTGCCAGCATGTATAAATGTACACATAATTATCAAACTTCACAGAACACATTTTGTCCGAATTATACATTAGAGTCTTTACAAAAAAAGTCTTCCCGCTATTGCTTGGACCACTAATAACAGCCGAAAATGGGTGTTGCAGTCTGCAGTCAAAAACACCTGTTTCACACATTTTCAAAGTATTGTTAAAACCCGTAAGGCAAGGTCGTATAATCTGGTTGGAGTACTCGCTTATTGTACACAAGTCTGAAACTTTTCACGATTGATCTGTTGTGCAATGTGAAGGTCCTCTTATTACGTGTAATGGTCTCTGATAATAGTAATAGCTGATGGGTAATGTTTAACAACAAACCATGCCGGTAATACAAATCAGTCAAATTAATAAAAACAATCAGTCAAATATGAAAAACTAGAGATTGTAAGATTTCAAATGATATGTGGTTTGTTTAAGATTAGTCTAGCTTTAGTATAGGATATTACTGAATTTAAATAGGTAATGGTTTTGGGTATGGATCCCATCGATGGGAGTGATGCCGTTGAAGAGGTTTTAATAACAACAACCCATACTATTAATACAAATAACATCTGTAAAATAACAGTCAAATGAATAAAAATAATAACATTCAAATTAATATAAAAGAAATCAGTGATTATGATATATCGCATACCTTGCGTTGTGTCTTTTCCATTGATAATCTGGATAACATTCATTTAAAAGGTGCTTTGTTACCAATATTAGCTGCTGTCAGGGGTTTCTCGATTGTCCTTCAGCGCGGTTAACAACATCCTGTTATAGAAATAACGGTCAAATTAATAAAAACAATCAAACTAATAAAAGTAATCATCAAATATTAAAACTAGAGATAGCGACTTAGCGAGATTTCAGATGATATGTAGTTTGGAGTTAGAATACATTATTATTGAATATAAAGATGATCTACAGTTCACACCAATAATATAGCAGTCAGGTGAATAAAGTCAAATCAATTGCTAATTGCTACCTTTATCAGCTGTTGTTCATGTTGTATTTCACAATTCTCCTCCGGTGTTAAGGATAGCAAGCACCAGTTCATGTTGTAATAGAAATAATAGTCAAATTAATAAAAAACAATAACAATGAAACAAATATGAAAAACTAGAGATAGTCAGACTTCAAATGATATGTAGTTTAGATTTAGTATAGGATATTACTGAATTTAAAGGTAATGACTACAGCCCCATAGCATTAATATATATATATATAACAATCAAATGAATAAAAATAATAATAACGTCAAAATAATATTTGTATAATATTTGTTACCTTATCAGATGTTGTTCAGAATGCTTTCACGATTCTCCTCCTGTGTTTAAAAGACGTTACAAGTTCTCTGTTTACATCCAGTTAACGTTGCGCCCTCCTCAGATCAGTTGAAATTATAAAACTTCATGTCTCGGATTTCCTTGTGATGAATGCATGATATTCCACAAGAAACGGCATAATCCTCAAAATCAATTAACTGTTTTCGTGATTCAGAATGAACAAACCTGATGATAAATCCACATATTTCCACACGCTGAACAATGTTGATAATCCAATGAACTGTTTTCGTGATTCAGAATGAACAAACCTGATGATAAATCCACATATTTTCTCGCGCCGAAGAGGACGCTGATAAAACATTCCATGACGTGTTTTGTCGGTCAGACGTAATATTGAGGAGGCCGTTAATAAAATATTTCCTTGCGCTGCATGGGGAGGACGCTGATAAAACACCAAATGACACGTTTTGTGGATCAGACGCTATGAATGAACAGATCGGTGATAAAACACATAATCCAATGAACAGTGTGCTGAGGAGGTCATTGATACATTCTCATATTTCCACAGGTGTACACAGCGTTGATAAAGCACATAATCCTCACTGCTGAAATTATAAAACTTCATGTCTCGGATTTCCTTGTGATGAATGCATGATATTCCACAAGAAATACGGCATAATCCTCAAAACCCAATGAACTGTTTTCGTGATTCAGAATGAACAAACATGATGATAAATCCACATATTTCCACACGCTGAACAATGTCGATAATCCGATGAACTCGACTTTGATTTACCCAAATTAACACAATAATAAATCCGTATAGATCCAGCGATGTGCTTTGGCGGCCCTGAACACCTGTGTGAATCCGAAATAATCCATCCAAAATTCAATCCGTGGAGCTGATCCTTAAAATACACACTGTCTGCAGTCTGTGAGGTTTTGGCTTTTTGAAACAGCCGCTGTCGGAATATGGGAGGTGTTTACGTGTGTCTCCATGAAGCGAGGACCAATGCTTCGTGGATGCGTCTTCTACGGGGCGTGAATAGAGCGCGGGCCAATCCGCCGCACGTGCGTCTTCTACGGGGCGTGTGAGGAGGCGTGGTTAGCGCGCCTCATTGCAAGGCGTTAATTCTCTCATTTAAGTTTCATGCTCCGTCCTGAACGGACGTTTTTTAAAACAGTCCGTCGTATGACGTTGGGGGTGGACGTGTTGTACGTATGGATACCGCATGCACAGAGGGTCACGTGATGTGGGAGTGTCGTGGGAGGAGTCTGCGTGTGGCTCCGCTCACGCTCACACATTCAAACAATCGTTTTCTCCCGCTGACCCGAACGGAGGTGTTTCGTTGGGCTCCTCATGAGGTCTTTTGGAATATCTCTAAAGTTTTGGATAAAAGTGTTTCTGTTGGATCTTTAAAACAGGATAATTTTTGTAAACGTAAGTCTGTAATGAAAAACTGTCTTGTTTGACTTTTTCTGTAAAATGACCGGTCTTTGACTTTTTTCACATATGAATGCATTTTTAAAACTGTTTTAAAGGTTTTAACATTTACATATGTATGAAACAGTGTATTTTTAATGAAACACTGAAAGATATTATAACAAATGTATTTTAGAAAACTTTTTTAATAGAACACTAAAAGATATTACAACCTTATTGTATTTGAAACTTGTAATATTTGTTATAGTTTTAAACACTGTTTTGTAAAACGTACGTCTTTTAAAAAATGGTTTAGAAAAACAGTTTTCTTTAATGAAAAACCCATTTGTTTGACTTTTTTCTGTAAAATGTCCGATCTTTAAACTGTTTTAAAGGTTTTTTAACATAAAATATATATGAAGCCATGTATTTTTAATGAAATAGTAAAAGATATATAACAAATGTATTTTAGAAAACTTTTTTAATAGAACACTAAAAGATATTACAACGTTATTGTATTTGAAACTTGTAATATTTGTTATAGTTTTAAACACTGTTTTGTAAAACGTAAGTCTTTTAAAAATAATGGTTTAGGAAAACAGTTTTCTTTAATGAAAAAAACCCCGCTTGTTTGACTTTTTTCTGTAAAATGGCCAATCTTTGACTTTTTAATGCATTTTTAAACTGTTTTAAAGGTTTTTAACATAAAATATATACGTAGCAGTGTATTTTAATGAAACACTAAAAGATATTACTAATATAACAAATGTATTTTAGAAAACTTTTTTAATAGAACACTAAAAGATATTACAACGTTATTGTATTTGAAACTTGTAATATTTGTTATAGTTTTAAACACTGTTTTGTAAAACGTAAGTCTTTTAAAAAATAATGGTTTAGGAAAACAGTTTTCTTTAATGAAAAACCCACTTGTTTGACTTTTTTCTGTAAAATGGCCGATCTTTGACTTTTTAATATATTTTTAAACTGTTTTAAAGGTTTTTAACATAAAATATATATGAAGCCGTGTATTTTTAATGAAACACTAAAAGATTTTACTAATATAACAAATGTATTTTAGAAAACTTTTTTTAATAGAACACTAAAAGATATTACAACGTTATTGTATTTGAAACTTGTAATATTTGTTATAGTTTTAAATATTGTTTTGTAAAACGTAAGTCTTTTAAAAAATAATGGTTTAGGAAAACAGTTTTCTTTAATGAAAAACCCACTTGTTTGACTTTTTTCTGTAAAATGTCCGATCTTTGACTTTTTAATGCATTTTTAAACTGTTTTAAAGGTTTTTAACATAAAATATATATGAAGCCGTGTATTTTTAATGAAACACTTAAAGATATTACTAATATAACAAATGTATTTTAGAAAACTTTTTTAATAGAACACTAAAAGATACAACGTTATTGTATTTGAAACTTGTAATATTTGTTATAGTTTTAAATATTGTTTGTACAACTTCAAGTCTGTGTAAAAGATTTTTCTTTTAATAAAAATCACTAAACCTATTTGTTTTATGTCGTCCTTAAAGATTGAAAATGTATTGTTTTTCCACCATTTTGTACATTTTTTGGTATTAATGGTTGTAGAATTGGGAGGAGCTACAAGGACGCTCCTCCTCTAATCCTGCGTGAAGAGGCGTGGGAACTTTCTATTTCCACGCCCATCTTCATCACGTGTTGTGGGAGGGATCTAGGGGTGGAGCTTACGTCTGGTCAGACTACAGAGGATGGATATGTCATTCTTGGGTTGTTTCAGGTGTGTTCGGACGTGCTTTCTTGGGCTCCCGGAATTACATTTACACAACTTTGAACCGGATAACTTTTGGAATATCTCTAAAGTTTTGGATATATACCTTTGGGATAATCCTTGCTGTTGGATATACCTTTTGGATAACCGCTACTGTCGGATAAATCTTTGGAGGTGATTAATCTTTAAACGGGATAATTTTGTTCTTCTTTCACCAACAAAACAGAACGTAAGTCAGTTTTTATGTTTTTAAGTTTTGATATCCTTTAATAATTGTTTGATGTAATGTAAATACACACTGTTTTAATACACATTTTGATAACATTTATTAATTATTTATTTTTACGTCTAAACAATTTAACATTTTAGTGTTTGAACATCGATAATTATTGTTATAATCAATATTATTTAATACTTTTAAACGGTGTGTAATTGTGTAAAAGTACAACTTTTGCTCCAAAATGTTATTTTTGTGAATGAAAACTTTTTAAAACAGATGTTTTATTTAAAAATGGAGTAATTTACTAAATAACGTGTAAAGGGAAAGACCTGTACTGCGTTTTAATGATATAAATTGACTAAATGGTTTTAAACAATGTGTGTAAAAGGACCATTGTTTAATAAATAATAAAAAAACATAACCTATATCTGTTTTCTGTCATCATTAAAGTTTGAAAATGTATTGTTTTTCCATCATTTTGAACATTTTTACATTGAACAAGACAGGTGTAACAGGTGTACAACAGGTGTCCAGTTCGACTACTGGGTCGGATGGGGTTCCGTATCGTGGGAAAATTTTCCCACGATCACGTGACCAGTCCAGAAGTGGTGGTGGTGGTGAGGGGTGTTGGTGGGTGGTAAGAGGAGGGGAGACCGTGGGAATTTCCCACGGTCACGCGGTCAGACCGGAAGTGAGCGGGAGGGGTAAAAAAGGGGGCGGGGCTTATTTTTATGAGGGCAATAAATCACTCAAAGTGGCATAAAGTGCCCTGTACTCTCTCTGTTCTGAATGGTTACCAGTGTGTTGTTAGGTGTTTCTAGTATTCTGAGTGGTTAACTGAGTGTTGCTAAGGTGTTCTGAATGGTTACCAGGGTGTTGTTAGGTGTTTCTATGGTATTTTGAGTGGTTAACTGAGTGTTGCTAGGGTGTTCTGAATGGTTACCAGGGTGTTGTTAGGTGTTTCTATGGTATTCTGAGTGGTTAACTGAGTGTTGCTAAGGTGTTCTGAATGGTTACCAGGGTGTTGTTAGGTGTTTCTAGGGTATTCTGAGTGGAGGAAACTCCCTGAAAGAGCATGGCCTGATGACACTGGCCTTACATCTTGTTTTGACGTTCTTTAACACCGGAACAGCCATGACGGTCAATTTGAGCATTTAGAATTTTATATCTGCAATAACTTAGTTGAAAAAAAAATCCTGCTGGTACCTGACTTTTCCTAAAAGTGTCTGTATTTTCATTTAAATTGTTTTTTATATAAATTACACATGGACATATTTTGGCCACTGAATTTCGTGGTATTCTTTTGTTACATTTCCCAGGGTTGACCTTTGACTCTCTCACTGTCAACAGAATATCTAAATAAGATACTTATTATACAATGAAGAAATACGAAACAGAATATCTAAAAAAGATAGTTGTTATTATTGTCCTGAGTTATGTTGAATGGGTATGGAAATATAGCTTCTCTCTTGTGAATATGCGATAATTGCATTAGGCTACTAATGATATTATTTTTTATAAATGTATAATTAAACTTGTTTAAATGTACAGTTTGGTGTTGTTTTGTTTTTCAAAATATATCCTAATACAATAAATGCATGAATCTGTCAATTGGGTATTTATCATTAAAGATATAGAGTTCAAGTGTTAAGGGGGATCAACTCTTCTTTACGTCTTCAATTCACTCCCCGTCTAAACCATACAAACCTTACCAGGCTCTCATCCTCAAATACTTTTAACTTTTAACTGCACCACATGCAAACACCTATAGATAACCGATATTGGATATTATACACAATAAATCCGTGAAAGTCTTTTAATGAAATGAAAGCCCTGGAAGAGCATGACCTGATGATGCCAGTGGTTATTGTTCATGAAGAGAGTCACGGGTGTCCTCCAGAACTGCTTCTGCTCGGGGTCTGGCGGGCGAAACCGCGTTTGCTCAGCAAGAACAGAAATTAGAGGCTATCAGCCGTCATCATTACAGCCTGAGAGATGGGCTGAGACGGGTAATAGTCTGACAGAGGGACATATTCCTGATCCATTCTCCCCATGAATCAATCGGCGTATTAGGCAGTGACAGGCCGAGTCCGGGCTGGATTCCTCCGCTTCGGGGCTGGCCTGAACTCTCGCCATCCTCCCCGGACACTCCGGAGCGTGACTGACGATAATAGGCCGTGTGATAATGCTCTGCCGTCTTTATCTCGCACACATACGCACGGCAGAAGTCATTTCTCGCGTGTAGATAGAGTCCTCCCGTCGTAGCGCGCGCTGGCATATGCCGTGATAAAACATGCATGGGAAATTAAAAATAAACACATAGTTTGATTGCTCTTTGTTTTGCAGCTAAGGGGGAACAATTATATCTTCATAGCGGAGTGGAGCGTTCTCAAACAGATCGTGTTCCTCACGCTGCTCGCCAGATGGCGAGAGGATGTACTGCTATCTTACTCACGGAAATGAAAAGAAACTCTTTATAAACGTCACACACAATTAGAGTCGGTGTTGAGACAAAGAGGCCATCAAGCACACGTCTGACAGTCGGCTCCAACTTTCTCTTTCCTAAATTATTCTGTTCTTGTAAATGACTGCCAGCGAAGGAAGCGGCTCTGATGCGTCTGTCTGTGTCTCTCTTCATCCTTGCCTGGCTTTAATGGCAGAAGATCATATCTGATCATAACTACACAAAAATGATGTTTACCACACCGGGTCGTTCATTGGACACCATGGTACTCGCATATCTGATCATTCAGTGCTATGATTTGGGGAAATTTGGTAACATCATTTGCAACCATTGAGTGACGATGCTTTTGGGAAACAGTCCTGGAGTGTGTTTCCCGTACGACGACATTAACTCGTCCTTCACCATCACAGGACGACACATCGCTGGAGAGATCCGCTATACTAAACAGAATCGGCCGTTCACCCACGTTAGTTAATGATGTCACTCAGATCATGGAGTAATAACTGGTAATGAGTGTGTTTGAGATGTTTCTCACAGCATCTGAGGACTGTTCCTCATGTTTCTCAGGATCTCCAGCTTCACTCATAGACTCGTTCACACACACTAGAGCTTGTTCAATTGCTTCTTTGGCTGAAGATCAGGATTATTGAGTCCACATCTCATGCAAACCAGAAACATAGTGTTGTTTTGTGTTTCTGTTTGTATTCGACTGGAGT